GAGTACAAATTTGAATATCTTTGTAGTTTGTTCTCTACTCTGTGTTTAGCAACAAAACAAATCAATTTTATACTAGAAGGTATTATTTTGTGCTTGTAATGGAAGTAGATTCACCAGACATGCCATTGTACTGTTTCTTTTAATGATTGAGTGCTTCCATGGCTTCCGGCTGGTCTTTGACTACGTTTTATAATAAACGGTGTCCTGGGGACTGGAGGTGACAGGATCACTGGTCTAGTAAAAAAGTTTTCAGCTATTTATCTTTCTTATTTACTTCTGTTTTGCAGCTGGTTTTGTAAAATCATCTTTCAGATTCCTTTGTCCCAGCACACCCTGGTTGATACTCTACATTCACGCTGGTTGTGGTGTGTTCTCTATTTACACTCATTGTTTACTTGGAATTTGATGTTTAAATAGTATTTTATTCTTTAATAAATCATTCTTGGGCAGTCAACCCATTTTTATGATTACTAATAAAAAGGAAATGTAATCATCAAAGAAGAAAAACTCCACTCACATTTCTCGGGCCTATACGCTCCCACTCAAATTCACTGGTGACAAAACAAAGGAATCTGCAACATATTCCACACTCTTACAAGTATGTACCTGTGTGATCAGGTAAGTGGCTTGCATTAGATAACTTCCTGAGATTATTTTTATGCTATGGTTCCACTATTACCTCCAAGAAAATGAGGCAAGTGGTAACCCAAGGGGTCACAGGACAGTGGAGAACCTGGCATTTGTGTTCTTGCTGTTGTGGTCTTCCTGTCCATTGGTAAACCATGCTGTTGCATTGAAAAATTGAAAGCTGGGTTTCTGGTGTGACTCAGTACAGCTATTTCATTCTGCACAGAAGGAAACAGAAACCTAGGTAACTTAAATGTCTTCCAAAAAGGCCATCAAGGCAGTTAGTGGTAGAGCTAGGGGAAAATCCAGACAATGTGTCATGATGTTTCCACTATTATTTTGCTTCTCAAAGGAAGCCCCATAACATTGCTTATATGTAATGGAAATTCTCTGGAATTTCCCCAGTCAACTGGATGTCTTGAGAAGAATGTAAACGTTAGGAGAGATACATCACTAATGCATCACTGCTTGTGTAATGAAGGTGGCAGGTGTCCAGTGGGTCAAGGTTGAAGCAGTTGGCAGGAGAGTAGTATCTGCCTCAAACATGCTTCACCACTGGACAAATATAGGAGTTCAATATTTAGGACAACTTGTCCTTTGACCTTGCAATTTCACAGACATGAGTAAAAATGTAGCTAGAGAGACGGCAAGACAATGACTTGTCAGTTGTCAATACCATTTGTCAACAAGATGAAATGTGTCCCAAGCCTGAAAAATTTAAAAGAAAAGTACATGGGATACATTACTAGAAAAGACAAATTTTCTAACATTGTGTTATCTATCCTAACATGTTGCTTGATTTTTTTTTTCTAAGAGATTAAAAGGATGTCTTTTTAATGCTTAGGAAAGCTTAGGTTATGTCTCTATGGTTAGGTAAGGTTAAAAGAGAATATAATACAAAAGGCAAAACTTATGGAAAATAAAGTAAGGCTAAATTGTTTGATCGTATGTCCCAGCTGGCAGCCCTGTGATTAGCGACATCAGGGGGTGTGTGGAGGGGTGTAGCTGGAGAGCTGCAATCACTGCTTTCTACCTGGTGTTGACATAGGTGTCAAAAACCAGTTGACAAGCTTGCTATGTTGGGTAATTCTTGTGATAACTTAGTTAAAGCTCCTGCTCTTAGGCAAACACCTAAGTGAAAAACAGACTGTAAGTGTCCACTAGCTGGAATGCCCAGAGACTGATGAGGTTTTGCTCCTTGAACTGCATTTACTTTATCCCAGCAGATGGTCAGGATAGGTGGTGCAGGATGGTATATGCTTTCTTATTCACAGATCCACCATTCACACAAGTTCTCTGATTTATATTGTTAACTACAGCTTGATGAAAATAAATGCTAGGCTAATATTAAATAATTCTGTGAGGAAAAGATATAAAGAGCTAACAGCTTTCCTTAAATTAAACCTTAATGGTGGTAACCTGACTCTGTGCATGCAAAAGGGACTGCTGTGGCACCTCTACAGGGGTTTGAATGTGAAAAGTATGGTTGATCTTCTGTGACCAGAGTTAGCTATAAAAATCATTTCAAGAACGTTGTGGTTTTATACTTCTCTGGAAAAAAGTAAACCTCTCTAGAAAGAATGAAGGACACATACACAGGCAAATTTTTTTTCCTTTTGAGTACAAATAAAATTTTAATAAAAAAGAAAGGTAATACTAATACTATGCAATTCTAAAGCACAGCTAATTTTATGCCTGACACTTAAGAATTAAATTTTGTAATAAAGGAATAATGAGTTATTTGGGGTTTGAGGTGTTTTTTTTATTAAATAAAGTGTGAGGCCCTACAATGCTATGAAAATTCTCTTGCTGCAACTGCATCGATCATCAATCAGCTCATAGAAAAATAGGGGGCTTTTTAAGCACCATCCAAAGAGATAAAACTTATACAACTTTCCAAGTGTTTGCAATGGAAAACAATCAATCAGATTAATATATAGAAAAAATTCAGATATAAAATTCTACAGCAAACCGAGGGATAATATGGCAAGATCCACATCCTTGAACCTCCTTTCAAATGCAACAGTTGATTTTATATAAATAAAATTGTATTCTCCTACTCATCCACTAACCGCTAAAGGAAACAGGTATAGTCAACTTCACTTTCACTTTAATTAGTAAGTCTGAACACAGGATTTTTTTTTTTTTAGTTTTATGTATTCAGTAGAGAATCATAAGCAATGCAAAGGTCATCCCTAAAGCCTGAGGTATATTAAATGAGGGAGATCCCCAAATGGGACATTAAAATAGAAAAAGTAAAATACAGAACTATGCCAAGTTTTTACTAGAATTCATTAAGGATACAAATGAAAAGGATGTCATTGGGTTTGGTTGAGAGAAAAACGGTTCTAAGCTTTTCCCAGGACCCAGTTTGACAATCACTGTCCCAATTGATTTTTAAGCTCGTGTGTATTACAAAGCCAATGAGATCCATATATTTCTGATTCACTTTACACTCATCAAAATGTAGTTGCAGAAGCTTCTTGAAGTCTGAGCAGTTTCTAAACCACACTTGATCCTTATGAAATGAAACTGTAAGACAGAATTGTACTGAAGTATATAATTAGTGTTAAACAATCTGAAGAATTTCACTAAACTCGTGTGGCTGAATACACATTATTATGCTATCTCTTGGAAATGGCAATCGGTACAAAATGTTTAGCCAAATAAATCCTCATTATTCCTTCTGCCCATTGCTTTTTTTACTTCCATTGTTTTTCAAGGGAAGCACAAGGAATTTGGCCTGAAAAGAGAACTCTGTTCTCTCCTAAAGGAACATAATGTATTTGATTACTTTTCTCTCTAATTCTTCATGTAAACAATGCTTGTCAGCTATGGAGTTAAGTAACTCTCATTCCTAGTTGTCTGTTAGACTTTTATTCAGGGGATTTTGGTCAGACTTTGATATTGTTAATAATTACTGAAAGGCTTAGCCCCATGAGGGAGGACTGTGGTCTTGGTCTTGCATTCCTACATCAGGCACACCACCAGGTACAAAAGACTTTTAGTTAAAGGAGTTTATATGGCTGGTCTTGCTGAGGTGACTGGTACGCTGCCCTTTGTTCCTTGTTCCTTAATAGTATATATGTGGCCCTATGACTAATTTATTTTAGGTAGATATGCTTGGGGATAACAGAGATATAACAGTATTGGATTTTGCAGAGGATTTAAAATATTTTTACTGTTCAGATAATTATAGCATCAAAAGTACTTCAGGCACCTTTTAAAGTTGTTGTATGACAACCAAAATGGGATTAAGGAGAGTTACCAAGAAAAATCCACTGGACATCTTTGCTGTGCCATCAATCACGTTCTATGCTAACCCCTGAGAAAAGTTTCTCCCTCAAAGACAGTGCTTCTAGGACTAGGGGTTTCTTCTGTCATTTTCCCACCAACCTGACGGTGGCCGGAGTTCAGCCCCAACACAGCCAGCAGTGTGTGGACTTTGCAGGCAAGGACTTCATAAGATATATATTTGCTAATTGATCTCTTTTCTCCATTAAGCTGATTCCACAGATGACCCCACAATTATTTTTTAGCCCCTTCTAAAGGAGACTTGGTCATTAAATCTGTTCCCCTCAGCAGGGCTTAAGGTGGCAGTGAATATAGAAAAAAACCCAAAGTATTTAAGGTCACAAAATGGCTTCCAAAATGAACTGTGTTACTTTTGGTAAATGGCTCAACTTCTCTGAACTTCAATTTGGTTAATTTTTTTTCTTTAAAAATTTTTTTTTATTTAATTTATTGTGATGACAAGTGTACATTTCTATAATGTATCGTCTATGTATTTCATTGTGTGTTCATCACCCAGAGTGAGCTCTTCTTACATCACCATATATTTGACCCCTTTTCCCCTCGTCTACCTCTCTCCTCCCACCTTAACCTCTGGTAAACCACTAAACTGTTGTATGTGCCTATGATTTATACTATTTTATTTTTTAAAGATTTTTATTAAAATATAGCTAACATACAATATTATATTAGTTTCAGGTGTACACAACAGTTATTCAACATTTATATACCTAAAGAAGTGATCACCATGATAAGTACAGCAGCCATATTTAAACATAGTCAATTTGGTTATTTCAAATGCAATTATGTAGCTAGCTTGAGGACTTATTTAACAAGAATTAAATAAGAAAACATACACAGTTCCAAACACATAATTGATTCTCATAAATATTAGTTTTATCCTCTCTGTTCAACAGCCTGAAGAATATCATATCTACCTATACCCTCACATTTATTATTTCTGAGCATACTCAATGGGTACCAACTATGAGCTAGGCTATGAGCTTAGGTTTTCAAATTGAGTGGAAGAGAGACATTAAACAATTACATAAATGAATATGTATTTATGAGTTACAACATACCTGAAGGAAAAGTACAATATTGTAAGCACTTTTACGGCCAGGCACCTATCTCCTGGTCAATTGGCTCATTTCCAGGTGAACATCTGGACTCAAAACACCCAATGGATTTCCATGGTCTTAACTGCCATCACATGTTATGCTTTCAAATCATATTTGATTTTTATGACGTGGTGAGGGGTCAATACTTGTGTTTGTCAGACCTATAAAAACACATGCAAAAGGGAGCCATGTTAAAGCATTACTATAAAGAGATACTGACATCATTAATGTTTATTTATTATAAACTGCAAAATTATTAATAGATTTGCATCTAGAAGACTGTATTACATCCGCTAGCACTAGGGATATTTTCTAGGCAAGATTTTTATTGCCAACATAGAAAAGAGAGCAGCCATATTTTGTTGCCAAGGAAAGGCAGTGCTCTTTTTTTTTCAGTTTTATTGAGATACACTTTGTAAAAAATTACACATATTTAATGTATAGTTTTTTTTTGTTGTTGTTTTTTTAAGATTTTTATTGGGGAATTGGGGGGAGGGGAACAGAGAATTTGCTGTCGTTTTGTTCTTCAGTCTAGTTGTGGAGGACGTTGCTTCACTGGCCCAAGCTGGCACCATCACTGCGCTCTTCCCAGGCGAGGCAGATCAGTCACCGGCTTCTGGACGGCCGCTCACTGCGGCTGCTGGCCACTCAACGCTGGCTGCTGGCCGCTCACGCTGGCTGCTGGCTACATACGGTAGCCCATGGCAGCCCACTGCCACAGGGGCTGCAGCCTACGCCGTCGGGGACTCACAGCAGCCCAGCTCCAGGTTGAGCTGTTGTTCAGCATCTTAGCTGTGGAGGGCAGTTTCACTGGCCCTCATATGTGGGATCCGAACCGGGGCCCTCTGGCGTCCCAAGCCAGTTCTTAACCATCGCGCCACTCGGCCGGTCCCTAATGTATAGTTTTTAATGAGTTTGTAAATATGCATACACTTGTGATACCAAGATGCTAAGCATAGCCACTGCTTCCAAAAGATTTCTTGTGTTCCCTTGCCTTTTTTTTTTTTTTTGGTGGTGGTGGGGGTGAAAACCCTTGGCGTGAGATCTACCCTCTTAAATTTTTAAGTGCATACGCCGTACTGTTAGCTATGGGCACTATGCTGTACAGAAGATCTCTAGAATTTATTCATCTTATACAACTGAAACTTTATACCCATTGAGCAATTTCCCATTTCACTCTCACCCCATTCACTGGCACCCACCATTCTACCCTCTGCTTCTGAGTTTTATTTTGATACCTCATATAAGTGGCATTATACAGTATTTGTCCTCCTATGATTGATTTATTTCACTTAGATTAATGTCCCCCATGTTGTCAAAATGGTTGGCTTTCCTTGAATTTCCTTTGTAAAGGCTGAATAATATTCCATTGTATGTATATACCACATTTTCTTTACCCATTCACTCATCAATGGCCATTTAGGTTTTTATATTCTGGCTATTGCAAATAATGCTATAATGAGGATGTAGATATCTCTTTGAGGCATTGATTTCACCTCCTTAGGATATATATATGCAGAAATGGGATTGCTGGATCATATGGTAGTTCTATTTTTAATTTTTTTAGGAAACTCTGTACTGTTTCCACAGTGGCTGCACCATTTTACATTCCTACCAACAGTGTACAAGGGTCTTTTTCAATTTTGTTGACAGTGATTTAGAATTCAGAAACAATGTAATAAATGATGAGCAGACCAGCTTACAAGGCACATACTACCCATAGCATAGCTGAATTATGATTGTTGATAATGCTAAACTGAGTGCTGGGCCACGTGAAATAGAAAGTAGAAGGCAAAATATATCTTTTCCCTGCTATCATACTGACCTCCACCACGCGTGACCAGTGCAACTTACCCCCTCTACCCCTCCCACCAAGCACCCAGAGCCATGATGTTATACAAAAGCTATTCATTTGAACCTGCTCAAAGTGATAAATGTTCTAAACATTGGGAGGATTGGAAATTTTATTTGTTTACTTTGAGTTAAAAAATGAAATTATATTCACAAAACAGAAAATACAGAAAAGCAAAAAGTCCCAGAGTTTTATCATATCAACATATATATCATTCTTATACATGTCCATAACCTCTTTTTTTGGCATAAATGTAATGCATACTATTTGGCACCCTGATTTTGTCCTTTTTATTAACGTATATGCATTTTTCCTTTTGCTACTTTGTATTTTTAGCCATCACATTCAATGACAGCTGGAATTTCACTGGATAGAGGTACATCTTGATGTCATTAACCCTTTTACTTGTGCTGGAAAATCAGATTGCATCCAAAATTTTTTTTTATTTCAAATAACATCATGAAAAATTTCTTCTTGCACGTCTTTATTTTCTTATTTAGGATGATCTCCTTAGAGGTCCCAAAAGGGAGACCTTTAGATAAAAGGCTTGGAAAATATGTGTGTCAAGTTGTTTTCCAAAAAGACTGTATCTCTTTATATATTCTAGACACAAAGTATTTTGTTGGACATGTGATTTGCAAATATTTTCTCCCAGTTGGTAACTTTTATTGCTTATCTTTTTAACAGGTCTTTCACAGAGGAAAGGTTTTAAATTTGGGGGAGGTCCAACTTGTTACTTTTCCTTTTATCAACTATTCATTTATAATCAAGCCTAGAACTTTTTGTCTAGTCCTCACTCCCAAACACAGTAGCCTATATTTTTCTAGAAGTTTTATAGTTTTATGCCATACATTTAATTCCATGATCCATATTGGGTTAAATTTTGTATAAGGTGTGATGTTTAGGTTACAGTTTTTGTTTTGTTTTTGCCTATGGATATCCATTTGTTGCTCCAGCACCATTTATTGGAAAGGCTATATCTCCTCCAATGAATTGCATTTGTTCCTTTGTCAAAAATAAATTGAATCCATATTTGTGTGGATCTATTTCTGGGTCTCTATTCTGTTTCACTGATCTATGTGTCTATTCCTTGTCCAGAACCACAGTCTTGGTTACTGTAACTATGTAGGAAGGCTTACCCTTAGGAAGAGTGATTCCTCCCAATGTATTCTTTCTCAAAATTGTCTTAGTTATTCTAGGACTTTCCCCTTTCTATATAAATTTTAGAATAAGCTTGCCTATGTCTACAAAAAACATTGCTGAGATTGTGACAGGAATTGTGTTAAACCCCTAGATCAATTTAGAGAAATTGACATCTTTTTATATTGAGTCATCCAATGTATGAACACAGTATGTCTCTCCAAGTATTAAAATTTTCTTTGATTTCTTTAATCACCATTTTATGATTTTTATTACCTATATCTAGTGTATGTTTTATTCGATTTATGTCTAAGTATTTCATTTTCTTTAGAGCAATTGTAAATAGTATTGCATTTTTAGTTTGGGCTCACTTGCTCATTGTAAGTATATAGAAATTTAATTAATTTCTGTGTGTTGATTTGTATTATGGTACCCTACTAAACTCACTTTTAAGTTCTAGGGTTTTGTTGTTGATCCCTAGGTATTTTCTATGTAGACAATCCCACTGTCTGCAGATGGAGACATTGATATGATCATATGACTTCTTTAGCCAGTTGATATGGCAGCTTACATTGGTTTATTTTCAAATATTGAACTAGCTTTATATACCTGGAATTAATTCTACTTAGTCATAGTGTATTATTATTTTTTTATGCATTACTGGGTTACTAAAATTTTGTTGAGGGATTTTGCATCTAAGTTTATGAGAACTATTGGTCTGTAGTTTGTGTGTGTGTTGTCTTTGTCTGGTTTTGGTTTCAGGGTAATAATAGTCTTGTAAAAAGAATTGGGAAGTACTACCTCTTTATGAAGGAGATTGTATAAAATTGGTGTGATTTGAACGTTTGGTAAAATTTCCCAGTGAAAATATCTGGGCCTGGATAGTCCTTTCTCAAGTTACCTATTTCAACTTGTCCGAGTTTTGGTAGTTTGTAAAGTGCAGAAAATAGGGGAAGGAAAAAGTATTTAGGTAAAGGCAATATTACCACAGTGATAGGCAAACTATACTTGGAAGTCAGCCCCAAGCTAAACATTCCCTAATAGATACCACTTGTTACTTTTCTCACTAACAGAGCTTCCAAGCTCATGGACTTTCTAAGGAAACCATTTTTGGTTTCTTGCTTGCTTCTTTCCTTTAACAGCACACATGATTAGTTTAGAATATTTACCGTGGCAGTAGCTATTAGTCTATATGTGTAGTTCAGAAGTCAGTATCTATTTTTAATAACTATAAATGTGTGGTGATACAGGCTCATTGCCAGTTTTGTGGCAGTATCCACTCTAGGGGATGGGTAAACTCAGTCATACACAGACGCTGGACAGTGACAGAGTCCCCAAGCATCTGCCACACAATGAGCTAAAGTGGAGCAACCCAAATGCCATAGAAACAAATAAATGCCTTAAACATTAACTCTAAAAAATATGCTTTTTAAAAAAATTTGGGAATATTGATTATGAAAATAAATTTAAAAGGCTAAAATGTATTTCTCAGAGAAACGAATCTCAATGTTAATGAAACTCTTGTTCATCGGGAGCGGAAAGCCCCTGTTCCATTTCCTCCTTTCAGCAGCATCAGAGCAGCATGGCCAAGAGTTTCTTAGCACCACGCCCTTGGAAGGAAACATGGCTGCAAGCTTTTCCAATAGCTTCAGCCTCTGTGGCACCCTTATTCCATAAACAGAGTTTAGTCATTCAAACTTGTGGCTTTTTAATCAGATAGTTGGCAAAGTTTCTATTTGCTGCTCACAAAGAATTCTGTCTTTTTGAAAAGCAGACCTGACTTAGAATAGTCTTTTCATGTTGGGTTTTCATGTTTATCACTTAACAAATATTCACAGCATGGGTATCCTCCTCCAGAAATAAATCTGAACATTTACATTCATGAGGAATCAATTCTGTGCAGTCTGCAGAAGAACACAAAACCTGAAACTGTTAACCGAATCTCCAGGCATGGTTATGAGTGGTCATCAGACCATCAAATAATCAAGGACCCAGCTTGTCACAAGTACCCGCCAGGAACATCGAAAAGTTATTCTGACTCATATTACAACCATCTATTCATTACTAATCCAGTTCTTGGCCAGAATACCTTTAAGAATGGAATCTAATTTTCATAGGTCACCATAATGGAGATTTTTTGTTTTGTTTTTTAAAAGAATAAGACACTCG